TGCGGTGGAGAGATGAAATTAAGAGATCCTCGCAGCTAAGAACACTACTGAAACGAGTAGTTGTAAATAGGACCTGAAAATTTTATTTTAGCTTAGGTTATTATAGTTTATTTGTACCCAATTCATTGACTAGCTCCCAGTTGGCTTGTTAGCTCAATTGGTAGAGCGCTGCACCGGTATCACAGAGGTCATGGGTTCAAATCCCGTACGGGCCTGATTTTTTTTCAGGTCCTATTCAGGTCCTAGGATCTCTTAATTTCATAATAACTAACTAGTTCCCCGACAGAGATGACATTGCATTGACTTGCCCTTCCTTGTAAATTTATTGCAGCTTCAAGTTAATGACTTTGTTTATTAAATGTCATTTTGCATTTTCTGTTTTTTCAAAGTAGGAGTAAATTCTGTTGGGTTCTGCCAATATGATCTCCACCTATTTTGCTTGAAATTTGTTCTGTGTGTACACCATTCAAGATTTCGTAGAAAAAGTTGTGGTTATTCATCGTGGTGAATAACAATAAAAGCTAAGTTTTTCGTTTATCTCACGAGGTAGTCACGTGTGATGTAGATCGCGACGTTTCGACTGCATACTACTAGTCTTCTTCAGGCGATGGATCGACTGATCATGCGTGATGTTATAAAGCATGACGCTCTGCCGTGATTGGTTGTTTTCAAAAGCTCTGATTGGTGCATTTCGGTGCTAGAGCTGTTTCATTCAGTGCTTTGCTCCCTCGGCGGTCCGCTATCGCACGGCTCTCCTGTTGTTGTGTTTTTTGATCGTGGGCATTCACGCTTTTGGAATTTCTATTCCACTATCCCTGTTGATGTTGTTAGGGTGAAGTCTTATATGAATTACCTCTTTGACTCTGCGCGTGTAGTAATAATGGTCACGATCAATAAACTTTACTTCGTTCCAGAGTGGCTTGTGTCCAGTGTTGTGGGCATGCTCTGAAACGGTGGAGGTCTCGGTACGGGCGAGTCGGATGTCTCGATCGTGTAAACTACGCCATCGTTCTGTTGACTATTTCTTTATTCTTTCCTTTTTCTACACAAGTTACTATAACGGGAACTAGCTCAGATCTCTCAAGGAAAGTGTGGGTCACCACTTAAAAAGGTGACGCTTACTGAGCTATCAATCTCTAATCTTCTTCATCCTTTTACACTTAACTAGCGAATCACGTTAAGCTACACAGAACGGAGTTCACATACTAAGTAGGTACTTTCGAGCTGTTTACGCTTTACAAAATCATTTTCTACCTTAAATTTTTTACTATTGCGGTTAAGGTTGATCATAACTAAAACAAGATTGGTAATATAGAAATTAAAGTGAACTTACTAACAGAATTAGAATCATACTTGAAAAGATATCTTAAGAGAAAATAGTCCTCAAAGACAGTTACATAACAGCAGAATAAACAGAAAATTCGGCGAAGAAAGGGCGTGCCCAAAGTACCGTACCGCTGTTCATATAAGTTACCTGATTGTAAATTCAGTGCGGAGGATGAAAAGTACTACATGTTTACACCTTTAGGGCCTGTTTACATGGAGGTGGGGACCTCAGGTAGGTGAGGTAACCCGCCTGTCCATATAATTTTTTTATTTTACTTTGATCACGTTTACATGATAGGTGGGGTGACCCGCTGATAGTTCCATTGTTGAATACGATGACCGCGAGTTGCATAAGTGTAATTCAACACTTCATTTCTTATCATGCTGATAACAGGAACAGGCTTGGTGAATAAATGTACCATGTCGCTATACTGATATGGAAAACACATAACAGCAAACATAAAGCTTCTTCTCCATCACAAACACTCCCTTGACTGCATCTTATATTACGGTATGTGCATTTTTTAAAGTCTAAACTGTGCCAAACATTCGTCGCTAAAATTTTCGAAGTCAAATTCAGAGAACGGGTCATACGGAAGTTCTAGGTTTTGTGATTTGTAGCTAACGTAAAGCAACAAAAATTCGTCATCACTAATGTAGTTCATCTTATAACAAAAACGGAATAACTCTCTTGCTTCCTTGAAGGATGACATTTTTGCCAATAGAATGACTGCACAACAACGCTCTGAGATCTGAGCTTTTCGCCGTAGTGTCGCTGTAACTTAACGATTCGTATTTGGAGGGAAATACTCCGTACTCACCCTTATCTATCGCGGCCAAGGTAGCCGTAGTACACCAACCACAAAACTAAAAGTCTTAGAGATGTTTTTAGACCACATGGTTCGAAGATACACGAAGAAGCTGAATCAAGATTTAGGAAAATTACTCTTAAAAAAAATGTATTCAAAATGACTCCCGCATTTCTTGCCATGTACTGACTGACTTTACGCGTCTGGATTGCGTTATTATTTCATTTGTAATCCACTTGACTTCCGGTTCCGGCCCCAGGAATATGGGTACTCTCGTGCATCCCCATAGGCGATAGATCAGTGGAACCCGACCTTGATTTTTATTTAGTAGCCCTTGGAAAAGAATCCACGGTCGATAAACAAGAAAGAGGAGTTGAAATCTGTCTGTTACAAGTTACTTTTTACTTGCGTGACTTTCATCTACGCGCGCGTGATCGATATCGGTGTCTTTGTTCTCATTCGTCACATTCGCAAGTTTCACACATAGTTTAATCTGAATGGAACGTTTCTCCGGAAGAAAAGTTTCTAAAATTCATGCAAATGTCCTAATTGTCTAACATAAATGGGATTTTTTTCCATGAATCGCACCATCCGTCATGTTGTTCAGGCAATTTGCCGACAAGGATCGTGACACTCGGTCCCAGTCTCAAAACGAATTAGGGCCTTATAGGCCATCCCGTCAAGTGACTTCCAGAAGATTTTGGCACATCCTTCCACGTTGAGGCATCAGCAAAGGTCTGACAGGATGGTGTCTTTGCGTGATTATGACATTTACTTACTCTTTCTTCTGCTGGTAAAGTTTCACGGGTCAGGTAAGTGTGAAGTTATTCTCCCGTACAAAGGATTTGACAGTATTTTTTTACCATGTGCCATTTTAAGCTTAGATATCGAAAACGCCAACCCGATCCAAGGTTGCTTTCAACAGTTTTTGTATTTCAAAATTTAGATATGATGTTGGGATTTCAATCGCGTGATAAATGAAGTCTGAATAACTATGATGCGATAGAAATCAAGAGCAAATTATTTTATATTTCAAGTGTAACAATACCATGTACGTTCAGAATTTAACATCAACATTGAAACTTCGAAGTGCAATATTTTCTTAATTAGTGTGAGTCGTCTTTTTAGCCATGAGGAAAGTTACTGCTTTGTCAGGTGGCTTTCCATTACAAACGTAATGGCTGTGCAAACTCAGAAGAGAGTTGCCATCTGTACATAAACTCTCTTCCTTTCCATCCATCACTCATTATTGGGAAGAGCTGTTACCAATTTTTCCAATTAGTATTGGTTCAAACAATAACCTCAGCAAGGATAATTTCTGCTAGCTAAGTTGAGTGTGACTTTTCCTCTAGGCAGCAATCATGTAAAGAAACTTCCCAATGTGCTTGGATGGATAAATGAGCATTGTTTGCTCATACCTACATGCATGATTTGTCTGCTTGGCAAGTTTTTAGCTTTATGCACATATAAGTGTGGTATCCCACACCGGTAGTGGATGACTTATTTTTGTTGTATATTTAAAAACAGTTAAAGAATTACCAGGATCAAACTTTTTGAAATGTATGTGAAGATATCTTTGCTGATGTATATACCTACTGAGATTTACTTCAAGCTAATTTAACAACAACGACAAAAAGATTTGTAATAAACTGCACAAATTCTGATAGGTAGGATGGTTTCTCTCACTAGTGAGAAAATAGCATCTGACCAATCACAAGTTGTAGAAGATATTTTGACCAGTGAAAACAATGGTATGGGTTTTTTTTATGCCTTTGTGGTTTGGGGGCTTGCCAAAATGAATGAAAGTGAATGTCAGTGAGGTTTGCTGGTTGCAGACAACTATAGAATCATGACTTCAAGGTTTAAAACAAGAAGTCAGCCATTGGTGTAAACAAGTTAGATTTACTAATGAAGATAATGTCAGAGAAAGCCAGACTTCATGAAAATTGGTGAAAATCATTCTGATTTCTCCTTATGCAAACTGATTGCAATCTTTGTCTAAATATATGCCTTGATCAATCCCTGACATTTGCAATCCAAAGAACTAAAGTGGAATCTCCTCCAAAATGGTACAAAAGACTTAAATTTGTAGATTCTGACTCAGATAAGAAAGTATTACAATCCACCTTTGCGATTTGATTCATGCACACATGAATGAGAAAACATTTATGCTTTAAATTGGCACTATAATTCCTATAATATTAATGAAAGCTTTTCATTCAACTAATTTGTTCTTCATTTTTGCCTTTACTTTGTTTCAGCAGCAATGTAAATGTTGCTCTATTTTCTGCAACACACACAACCCACATTTCCTCAAATTACATCATGATTAGTTTGCTTTTACAATTTTTATCCACTCATAGTCTAGACAAATACTTGCTTGTTCCTTGCTCATGATTTTATTTTCCAAAACTTGTGAATAGAAATTACATGCACACACTTAACTATGAAGCATCTATATTTCTTACATGTCTCAACCACATTTAACCATTTTTGGAACTTAGTTGCACCAATTAAAGTATAATATTAAACTTGGAAATGCACTTGTCTTAAAATCGTTGTTGTTGTAAGTAGAAACAGACCTTTAGAGCGAATAAACCAAATTTATATTGTTTGAGAAGTTACACAAAGGCACAAATAGTTACACATTACTGTTTGAACTATGTTTCTTAGCAAATGAAAGTATATTTCGAGCTGATTGATATCAATGAATACCAATGTAGTGCATATTTACACTTATTGTTGTTACTGCTTACACTAAAAGTGCCTCTGTGGTGGACTCTATTTTAGCCCTTCTTCCTAAATAATATCGTTACACATGTAACTAAAGGGCTGAGAATATTATGTTTATGGTTGTCTATTTTAGGGGGTGTGGATGTGCATTTCACCCAGGAACCTTCTAATCCAAGCTACTTTATCAATGGTAGTGATGCCAACCTGGTGTGGGACTACGCTGATCCACATAATGACATTCAGAACATTCTCTATAGTGTTCTAGTTGGTGGTAAATTTGTCAGAATGATGGTTAATAGCAGTCATGGTGTCCAAGAAAATCCTAATATTCCTGCATCTTACAAAGGAAGAATTAAAATTGAAGGAAGAGCTACCCTGGTCATAAAGAACATCAACCCTGAAGACAATACCAAATTTGAATGTGAAATATGGGGAAGCTTTTCCTACCCGGTAGAAAGTACAGTTCAGCTTATTGTGGCAGGTATGTATTACAGACATAAACATTAATAATTAAACATAAATCAAATGCATTCAACTCATGTCTCATATTTCTAAGATCTGGAAAAGTAAACAATAGCATAAATATGCACAAACATTTAAATGCAGGGCTGAAAGTAGCTAGCCAACCAGACTTTTGAGAAGAACGGTGCTACTTTTACTTGGCATGTGACACCACGCACCTAAAAGGAGAAAAGAAACTCTACCATTTACTCTGCTGTTTCTCATAAGGAAGAAATCTAAGAGTTATCAGATAGTTATTGCTCTATTATTCTGGCACCATCTACTTAACTGCTATGTTGTGCATAGATAACTGTTATCTGACTGTGATTCTATGACGTAGCGCCTGACAGGCAGCACGCGTTTTTTTTTTTCCTGCTCCGTGATTCTAAGCGAACTTTCTTCAAAATAACTTCCTCGAAACGACAAAGAGCACTATTTTAATCACAAGTATATTTTTATAATATTGGCCTCTAGTTACATGGCGATATTTTATTCAAGAGCGGCACTGAATGCCATTTTATCTTCAACGACGAAGAAGTCGCTCGGTTGTGAGTTATGGCGCAACATATCTGATCTGGGAATAACACGGCAAAGACCTACACGTCGAGGGACAAGAGCAGGACAGCGCAAACAAAGGCAGATTGGGATTTGCATGGGGAATGGAGCACGCAAGACTCAGCAATTTCCGAACTTTAATGGGTGTTTCTTTGCCAAGAACTTCCTTCACAGGAAACCTCATTTTACATAACCAACTGGCGAACATATTAAATATTCAAAATGACACCTTTCCACGTAGCAATCTAAACAACTGCATTGTTATAGATTGCACCAAGGAAAACAGAGCAGCCAGTACTGAATGGTCACCCAAAGTTCCTAAGATCATGTTAGCGAATGTCATGTCTTTAGCCCCCAAAATGGATGAAGTTAGCGAGTTTATCACTCGTAATCATATCAACCTTGCGTTCGTTACGGAAACCTGGCTAAAGGACTCTGTGTTGGACACCGTTGTTGACATCCCCGGGTTTGCTATTGTGCGTGAGGACAGGAAGACACTAGAACACGGTGGTGTGTGTGTCTATATTCAAGAAAAACGGTGCAAATATAAACAACTGAACGATTTAAAGTGCTGTGATAATCATGAGACATTGTGGCTCCATCTAAGACCAAACCGCCTCCCCCGGGGGTTTTCCTGCATAATCGCGGCAGTGATCTATCACCCCCCCAAGGCCGATGGGACATCTATCCGGGAGCATTTGTTCCAGTCCCTCGTCCTAGCGGAGACGCGATATCCCAACTGTGGATTGGTCGTCACAGGAGATTTCAACCGCTTGATATTAAGGGCTTGCTGAATCACTTTCGTCTCCAGCAAATAGTTCAAGTTCAGACCCGGAAGGATGCCATATTAGACTTGGTGCTCACTAACATGCAAGAATACTATAATCCGCCACAAGCCTACCCTCCATTCGGGTTGTCGGATCACAACGCTGTTGTTGTGTCGCCAAAAGATGGTAAACGTGATGTAAACAGAAAGCACGTTGTTAAAAAGGCGTGACTTACGTGAGAGTAACAAGGCTGCCTTGGGGAGATATCTAACCTCTATTGATTGGCCTTTATTGTTCGCTCCTACGGATAGTTGCCAGGAAAAGTGGGAGATTTTCCACACTGCTGTACATACAGGGCTTGATATTCTGATGCCTGAGAAAGAAATTCGCACCTGTAGTGCGGACGCTCCTTGGATTGACCATAAGCTGAAGTCAATGATTTTGAAAAGACAAAAAGCGTTCAAATCATATGGCGGCGACTCTGCCCAATTCAAGTTCTTCCGAAATCTGGTTAACCGGGAAAGAAAGGCATGCAGAGCTAAATATTATGAAGTGAGAATTCAGAATTTAAGACAAGAAGCCCCAAAGAAATGGTGGGACGAAGTAAAGCGTCTGAGCGGCTCAAAAAGGAAAAATGGCGACCTTCTGAGCCAGATTGACGTGGAAGGTTTTTCAGAATTGTCATTAATAGAAAAGGCCAACACCATCAATGCCGCGTTTTTAGAACCGCTGGAGGAGTACAGACTGCCAACTCCACTAGAGTTTCTCCCCATGGAGGCGAATACAACACCAGAGATCCTGCACGTGGGTGAACAACGTGTTCAGAAGGTTCTGTCTCACCTTAACCCTGGGAAAGCGTGTGGGCCTGATAGAATTCCCAATTGGCTACTGAAGGAATATTCAGATGCAGTGGCTTTCCCAGTGACAGAAATCCTTAATGCCTCCTACTCCGAGCAGCATTTACCAAAAATGTGGAAGTTGGCTGACGTGACACCCCTGCCCAAAAAGAAATCAGTAAAGGAACTGAAAAAGGACCTAAGACCTATCTCGCTTACTCCATGCATTTCTAAGGTCGCAGAAGGGTTTATTGTGGACGACTACGTCAAACCAGCAGTTATGAGTATCATTGACGACAGCCAATACGGGGCAATACCAAACTCTTCCACGACTATGGCCTTAATTAGCATGTTACATAATTGGTCAATTAACACTGATGGAAATGGCGCTACTATAAGAACAATCGTATTTGATTATCGAAAGGCCTTTGATTTTATCGACCATGAAATTCTGATTAGAAAACTGCGTACTAAGTGTAAATTGCCAGTTAGTATTACCAATTGGATAGTTGACTTTCTTTCTGATAGATCACAAAGAATTAAGCTGGCTGCGGAGTGCTTTTCGGAGTGGGGATCTGTGCCCTCCGAGTACCACAGGGCACAAAATTGGGCCCATGGTTATTTGTGCTTATGATAAATGACCTTGAAATCGCGTATCCACTATGGAAATACGTTGATGATACAACAGCCTCGGAGATGATACCAAAAGAGAGTGAAAGTCACGCCCAAAATATAGCAGATTGTGTTAGTGAGTGGTCACGAGAAAATAGAGTTCACTTGAATTCTGATAAGTGCAAAGAGCTTCGGATCTCATTTTCTAAAAGGCCCGGGTTCTTTGATCCCATAGTAATTGAAGGCAAAGAGTTGGAGGTAGTTAGTAGCGTAAAGCTCCTGGGCCTTAATATAGCTAGCGACTTGACCTGGAACAGTCATATATCAGAAGTAATCAAAAGGCCAGTAAGAGGTTGTATTTTTTAGTGCAACTAAAGAGAGCTAGGGTTCCCTTACAAGACCTAGTACTTTTCTACACATCATGTGTAAGATCTGTAACAGAGTACGCGATACCTGTCTTCTATAATGCACTTCCGCAATATCTGAAGAATGAGCTTTTACGTATTGAGAAACGGTCAATTTCCATTATAACTGCGGGTGATTGCGCGGTTGCTCAAGATTTAGGAATACGACCCATCTTAGAACATTACGAATTTCTATGTCAGAAGCTTTTTAAAGGTATCTTAGACAACCCTAGCCACAAGTTAAAGGCGCTTCTTCCACCCATACATAAACCCAGCTATAACTTCAAAAATAAGCGCCAATTTAATATGCCACGCCTTCGCACTTCGAGAACGATGAACACTTTTATATTTGCTATGGCAAGGAGGTTTAATGGCTAGATTTTTATCGATACGATATCCTTTATTTTTGTTACGGCACGCGTGATAATTATAGTAATAATAATGATAATGATAATGTAGATACTTTTAATTAATTTAAATTTATTTTAATTAGTTTACATTTATAGCTAATGTATTTTATTTAATTTACTATCATGTTATTATATTGTAAATTGCTGGTATAATAAGACGTGTAATTAGGTTTTTGAATTTTAAATTTTAAATTTCTTGGATTGTAAAAATGTGTAATTCAGCCCTCGGGCTGCAAATGCATTTGAGATTAAACTATCTATCTATCTATCTCTGTTATTAATATGAGTGCTGAGATTTTTTCTTAGTGAAGCTGTCAATTAAAAATGGTACATCTGTCAAAACTTTCAAAACAATCCAACTGGTAGTAGGATTTTGCTGAATCAATGAAGGAAAATATTGCATGACCAATCACAGGCAGCATGTGAAATGAAATTGGTGTGAAAAGATTGTAATGAAAGGCAATAAAAATCGGCACTGCACCATGTGCTGCTTTCTGAGGATTATGATCTTCAAGGTCTGCAGATGTAAATTTAGTCAATAGAATGGTGACTTCCTCAAGTAATTTCTGATACAAGGAGCAAGTTGAGACTTAAAGGATTTTTGTGATGGAGCACAATGAAAGCGATAAAACAACAAAGTCCATAAACCAAGCTCTTTATGCTCTGTGAAAGACGCTGAGCATGCAAACAGTAAATAATTCAATGATGATTAACATGGCCAAAACTTTTCATTTATAAAATGGAAGCCTAATGTTCTTTGAGTAGACTTTTTAATCTTATTTCTGAGTGTTTTACCTTTCATTTTTGAATACAGTATCTAGGATATCCTAACAACATTAAGTACATTTAAACGAGTGTGATATTGAGTATGTAATTTCTTTGTCATTTGACTGTGATTCAAAGTTGAAAATGTCCGTGATATCTCAATACCCATGTACAATTTACCTCATTGTCTGTCTGAACGATTTTATTCACTTGTCGTGAAGAATCCAAACTTACTGGTTACTATGTTCACTTGCTTGTTTTTGATCCTTTATGACTCGTGAATAAAAATTGTTTGCGCTCATCAGCCATAACATAATCTTGTTTCTTTCCTTTATTTTAATCATGCATTTGCTAAGTTCTGCTGGCTTATTTTAAATGTAATGCAATACCTATCACACTACTTCTCTTTCAAAATTGTATTGCGATAGAAAGATATCAGGTTATTATGGCTTAATAGGGGTAAACGAATCATCAGTTGCCTTTGGTTTTTTTAGCCAAAGCCAATCAAGGGCCAGACATCTTGTAGCCCAAAAAAATCAAGGGTAGCTTAGAAGCTAGGGTCCTTATCCCAAAGAATGACTTCCTGAATTAGCCCTTAATTCCCTAGGCTGGGGGTCTGCAAGTTCTCCAGTTCTCCAACAGGTTAACGTGTACTGAATGAAGTTTGAGCCTCCTTATATTGGAGACTAATTCCTGGATTCTTTTGTTTATTTTATTGACATTGGGTAAATCTCAAGACTCAGTCCAAGTAAGATTTGCTATGCCTTCTGAGGAATGATAAAATCTCTTTTACTTTTCAGAGGCAATACTTATAAACATCTCTTTAAGAGGAAAATATTACATTGAAGGATCCCCTGTCACCATGGCCTGTGAAGCTTCAGGGAAACCACTGCCGGATGTAGCTTGGATTAGAAATGGAGTACTGGAAAGTTCAGGGAAGAAAGCTGCGTTTTTAAAGTTCAATAATATAAACAGAACAGATGCAGGACAATATACATGTCGAGCCAATAACTCAGTGGAAGTCACTGCTGTTGACACATCAATTGTAGTTCAGTGTAAGTATATCTTAACCGTAATTTACTTTATTTACAGTGCGAATCCTGTTATTGGGGTCAGTTACCCAGAACTGACAAATCTGTTCAAAAGTGAAAGGGAACCTTGAGAGCAAGTTCTCCAATGCAGCTTTCAGCTTTGTATGCATTGGTCCCAATTACTGGTTGGGACAATTGAATTTAGTGGAATCACTGCTCATGTTACTTTACTTAGAAGAATGTGACATTTTTTTGCCAAGTCATTGCTTCAGTTGGACTATGTTTAATTCAGAAAATGGTTCAAAACCATTTCCGAATCATTGTGACAATCCAGAATTCACTCCGTTTAACTAGCGCACAAAGCTAACGCATAGTCTACTTCTGTGTGAGGGCTCTGTTTGGGGCTTAATGGAAAGCTAAGAATTGGTCAAAATTCTGTCAGCTGAGAAATTACATGTTTTTTGCTGATTGCTGAGATAAGCTAACAGGTGCGAAAATCGGCTAAACTAAAAACTGCATACCTAAGATTTGCACACATATTTTAAACTGGCTACTTATCTTGATACAGGTAATCCAAACTATTGTCTAAGAATTTACAATTTACAATTTACAAAAAACATTTACAACAGAATTTGAAAGCATGTCAGCGCTTATACTAATAACAGAAGTTATTCGCCTCAGGCTTGGTGACGATTGATGAATAATCGCTTCAACTTCGTCTCGGAGATCGTTCAACAATATTCACTTCACCTTTAAATATTAAATGTACAGTACTGTGTAAAAGTAACGCAAGGGAAATGCATGAATTTCCTGTTTTGTTCTTCTGAACTTTCGTCGAAATTTAGTGCAAAAGTTCGAATGACAATTCGAGGCTTTTTGAGCGAAAGTTCCGTTGAACAAAGAGCGCTATTTCGTCGAATTTTTGCTCTGAAACAAAAGTTCAGTGAAATTTCGAGATAAAAAGCGTCAGTTTATTGCTTGAATAGACAAGAATCTGAGGATTCCGAAAAAGGAATCGACTCTGCCTCCTTCGAAGGTGATGCTGAATATAAAATCTAATGATCAATACCCATAAGTAAGTTTTGGTTGCAAATGAGAGTCAGCGATTGGCGTTGCCGCAAAACACATGCGAGGCTTGTGAAGTTTTAGAAACAAATTCTGCTAACATTGAAAAAAATCTGTGTTTGGTGATACTTACTTTTCCTTGAGGTTTTTCCTTTTTTTTTCCTTTCTGTTTGTAACCTTTCTTTCCCGCTGTTTCATTTGAGTTTGCCAAGGATGACTCTGGAATCTGCGAGTGAGATCAAAATGCATTAAAAAGTTAACAAGTATAGGTATGTCAAACTTAAAGGTAGTCTGTTGAACGAATACTTACCGATTCCTTCTTTGCCCTTGCTTGGCGTGGCGGCAGATCGCTCTCTGTGAAAGTTTGCTGAACCTCCACTTCCAGCGGATACCAATTCACAACTGCCATGTGCTCCTTACAAGTCTTGCCCAAATCACCTGCTCTTTCTGCCCCTTTTTAAGCGGGGACGAATTGATGATTGTGAAACGGTAAAGGTTCAAATACTGTCCATGCTTCCAGATGATTTTAACAACTTTGTTTTCCATGATAGATTTTCAATTTAATGGTGATAATGAAAGTGGCTGAAGCGGACTATTTGGGCTTTTACACTACTCTTACGGCTTAGTCAGATCGAAAAGTCTGTAATCTGATTGGCCTGTTTTAGTTTACATTATCATGCAAAATACCTCGTTGTTTGCAACTTTACGTTGACAATAATTAAGTTCGGCGTCCTCTAGCGTGCTTATTGTCATTAAAATAATTATAATGACAACAGACACGCGTAGGCATTGTTTGGTGAAACCATTTTCCAAGCACTCATAACTTAATAGTTTTGTTTTAGGTCGTTTAAATTAAGGAAAGCAAGTTCGTTGATAATTCTTAACTCGCCCGTAAAGAATTTTTACTGTTATTGGAAGATAATCGAAAGCATTCTTCATGTGTCCTGCTTCATGATGACATTAGTTTCGAACCCCGAGAAGAAGATGGTGTTGGGAAATAATATTTTCAAAGTTAAATTCGTTCCCAGCAGAGACTCCAGAGAAAACCAAGTCGCTTTCTGAAACATTTCTCCGTATTTTGTGTAAACTTTTAACTTTACATCCTTAAAACTAAAAATTAGTTAAACTTAAGATCTAACCTTACATACGATATAAATTTCATTTGGTCTGATAACGATTTGCATTCATAAGAACGAAATGGTGTCACAGGTTACGTTGTCTTTCTTTACGATTAACACAAGGAAAGGACGCCAAGACCGTATCTGTAAACTTTGCTGTATTTATACGCTCTTTTTATGTCGCAATATACTAGCTTTCATTCTGTGAAAGTTTCATGCGGTACAATGAACATTGGCGAAAATAACTCGACGAAAATCACTCGACGAAAATCACTCTGGTCTTGTTTTGCGCAAACTGACCATAATCTTCGTGATATCAACATGTTTTATTTTAATTTAACGGTTAACCTTCCATAATTGAGAGGTTACACACAACCTAAAGAGTCCCTCTTCTTTTCCTTTTTCTCTTCTCGTTTCGCTTTACGCAAACTGGTCATAATCTTTGTCATATCAGCATTTTTTGTTTTATTTCATAATTTTAGTGTAAGAAACGAAGTTTCTTTAATCATATCCCACTGTTTAACTATATTAACATTGTAGAGAGTTCTTTGTGATACGAAGATCTTACTGGTTATTGACTTTCATTAGATTTGGTGCCTCCTAAAAGAGCCATTTTTAGCTACCTACAGTGCAATGTCAATAGAGAATTAGGTGGAGGAGGGCGCGGTGGCTCCCAAAAGAGCTGCTTGTAATATTTTGTTTCAGCACCTCGACCCTCGGGCCTCCAACACAGCTGAAACAACCTTTCGTAAAACATGGTCTATGTATTTTGCTCGCTTCTCCGGCGTGACCTTCCTCTCCCAGAACTTCTTTATACAATTTACAAGCTCCTGCTTGTCGTGAGGTTTTACTTTTCACTCCAAGTAGAACTTGAGTTCACGCCACAAAGTTTCCTTGGGCTTAAGGTCAGGACTCTTGAGGGGGAGTACACCACCAGTTGATTTTTCCTCGTCGAAGAGAGTTTGCACTCGCCTACTCGTATGCTTCAGGTCATTATCCTGCATGAACTGGTGCTCGTAACTTTAATAGTAATAATAAACAGAATAAGCGTCGTCTCTAGAACATTGCAAAAGAGATCGGCACCCACGATGCCATCAAAGATGCAAATCTCGGTGGCACCCTGTCTACTGATTCCCCCCACGCACATGAATAATGGAGGGAGATCGAGCACTCGTCGCTGAAAATCATGTGTTGCGTTGAGCTAACTCCAGACGCTTGGCTTTGCTGGTACCACGAATCATCTGGCAATAAGCAGTCCGCTGCAGAGTCCAGCCTTGCTGCTCTCGCGCTCTCGTACCATGGACGAACTGACGAGAATTCCACGTTTTGCCAGCCTCTTAACTTAACGGGCGCAAAGCCATGTTTTAAAATAAAAATTTAAAGAACAGAGGAGCAGGTTCTGGCACCCTAATCAGTTCATTTTATCTCTTTAGCTGAAAGTTTTATTAAAACGCGCATCTAAAATAAAACAAAAAAGGTTCACGGGCCCGTTAAACAACCTGGACTTCCGATAAACGGGCCTCTAGTGGGAAAATTGTCCTCTTGGCGTCAATACCGTGGGGATTATGATGAGAGTACAAAGGTAGTGCCCTCCACGACGACAGCCAATATACTTAGTTATGTGAAGCCGGTTTAGGTGTCGGCACATTTCACTTATTTTGGGCCACAGAAACCCGATCAGTCTTTAATGCACTTCTCGTCCTTCGTCTTTCCAGCTGAGAAACTGTGGCAGAGTTTTGTCTAAAGTAGCGAAAACTTCAGCCCAACAGTCTTTGCAACACTTTCAACCTTTCCGTCAGATTCACAGCAGTCGTCGTGAACAGCCATATAACAGCCTCCATGATCACTTGCAACGAATTGCTCACCAGCATGTTCAGCTAATGTAATATCCACTCTATCCCTGTACAAATAAACAAATATTCCTTCAAGTGCAAAGGGTGAAGTCAACGTTTTATCTTGTTTCGTTGACTTCTTTTTCAAATAAAAATTTGAAGGTCGTTTTGTTGCAGGCAAATTCCCAGGTAAAACGAGTAGCATTTCACTTTATTTAGGTCTTCAGTCAATGAAATTAAGGCCTGTTGTAAGGAGGAAATGCTTTAGAAAAAATTTGTAGTTGCGCTTAGGTTTAGTTGTCGATATTGTAGATACTTAGAGGAAATAAACAAAAACTCGGAGTTTTGTTATTTCATACAATGTACCTTCCAATTCCAAAACGTTTTTCATTGATGGAGAAAGTGTGACATACCATTCGTCAAAACTCATCAAAAGCTCGGATGCATCGGACGAATTTCTGTCTCTCAGTACGCAATTTTTTTCTACAAAAAGTTTAAGCGGTAGAAAACTTCTGAGGTGCCTTCCTGTCAATCAAGTAAATTTTATCTCACTTTAAGAGAGTCTATTCACACAGAAACCGACCAAAATATTTAATTTTTGTGCTGCAATCGAGCTGTGAAGACGAAGGACGACAAAGAGAAGAACAAAGAAAAAAATAGAATAAAATATGAGCAATAATTGTTATCACGAAGCAACAGTTTCCCTAAGGAATTACAGTTTTTACATGTTAACATAACCTTTCTCTCGAACAGAATCTAAAGAAAGGTGTTCAATTTTAATGTGATGGACCTTCAGTTGGTTATAAAATATTTAGTTGTTTGCAAGTGCGTACGCAATAATAGAATTTTAAATTTATTGCAGACAAAATTTGTTGAGATTTTCGGCAAAGCAGAACAACTTTTGTCACCCTCGTATGTAGGGTACCTAACCCCTTTAGGCAAACAAAAATTAGAAGTATTGTTTTTTTTAATATATATATCTTACAATTTGAAACAAACATTTGTAAGAATTAT